TGGTGAGCAGGTGTCACCTTCACCCCCAGACCCCTGCTAGTATAGACCTGGCTGCCGGAGGCATTTGGGAAGAGGAAGGTGTCCAGCTGGAAGCGGAGGAAGTTGTCTCCACGCTGGGGGAGGAAACGGGAGCGACCGAGCTGCCCATCCAGCAGGCACCTACCAGGGTGGGAAACAGGGTGAGATGGGCACTGCCACCCTCCCAGGGCCAGTCAGACTCTGCCACCACCCACAGGGTCGCGGTGAGGAGGGAGAGCAGCAATTCGGGGCAATCCCCAGTGCCAGCACTCACCCGTTGTCAGCAATGACCTTGTATTTCAGCCACGCTGCCATGCTCAGGCTGGCCATGCACTTGTCCACGAAGACCCTCAGGGGCAGGCGAGGATGGGCGCTCACCGAGGCCTCGATGTTGATCAGCTCCCCCAGGGAATAGGTGGGCTGGCGCAAGCGGGAGGACCACGTACCTGGGAGATGTGTGGCCATGGCTACCCCCAGCATCACCCTGGGGCCCCGGCCAGGCAAGGGGTCACCCCCACGGAGAGGAACAAGAAGGTTTGGGGGTCCCCACTCACTGTCATACGCATCCAGGGCAAAGTGTAAGCGTCTCCGGTGAGCGACGGTGGAGCCAAAGGGGACCCAAGTGGGCTGGATGGCCTCCAGGGAAACGCTCCCTGTCCTGCACCACAGAGCATCCTCAAGTGGGTGACAGGCTCCCAGGGGCAGACAGGGCATCCCTGCCTGCCACATTCCCCACGGGTGGGCACCCCCCTGCCCAGGATGGGCTGATGGACCTGGCACCAAGAGGTCCTGTCGTGGATGACGCACAGGGAGTGTGGGCACAGGGGTTCCCTGCTTACCGGGGGTAGTAACAGTGCACAGGGAGGGAGAAGGGTCTGGCACAAGCCACAGGTCCCCCAGCCAAGGGGCGGTAGTGGAGGACGTTGCTGTAGCGGATGCTGTCCGGGAGGAGCTGGGGAAGGAGCAGACATGGTGCTGAAGGTGTCACTTGGCTCAGAGCGGGTGTCCCTTCCCTGTCCCCAGCACCCCAGGAGCCAGAAAGCTCCTCGGCACACAGGGAGAGCCAGGTTTGGGGCCATCAGTAATGGTCCTCGCTCACTGTAACTGGTGCTCCCACTCTCACACAAAGGTCCTTGTCCCTGTGGGTGCTGCTGGGGATCCTCCACATGGGGGACCATGCCATGGGGTCCAGCTGTCCCATGTGGTTTCCTTCCCAGCCATGGGGTCTTTGGCAGTCACAGCCAAGGATGCCCCGATGCTGTCCCTCCCTTGTGTGAGTCCTCCCTCTTCCATCCCACACCCGCTCTGAGGGGGGCCACCATCAAGGACACATTGTCACCCCTGGCTCCTCACCTCCAGGGTGGTCCCCCCCGGGGGGTCCCCCAGCCGGTACCTGCCCCCATCGGCAGCAGTCACACCACAGCCGGATCCCAGCGTCAGCTCCCCATCAGCCACATGGCTCCCCAGGAGGCCAGCTGGCCCCGCCACCGACAGCCACGCATGGCCGCACGTCACCGAGACTGGGGCAGGAGGAGAGGGTGGGCTGAGCCAGGTCACCAGGGTCCCCCAGGCTGCCTGTGCCCAGGGCAGCGAGCCAGGCAAGATGTCCCCTCCAACCCCTCACATTCACAGGCTTGGGGAGGACAAAAAGAGGACTGGAGGGGGTGGGTTGAGCCACTTTGTGCCATCACCCCAAGGCACCAATGTGGCCATGGTGCTCTCAAAGGTCCTCATGGGGAGATGAGGGGGTGCAGGACCCACCTCAGGGCTTCCCTTGCTCCAGATCTGGCCTCCTAGCCCCACACCTGGTGCTTGAGGCTTGAGCCTGCCCTACAGCCCTGCCCAGAGTGGGGAGGAGACCGTGGGCTTCCTCTGTGGGCAGCCAGACATCACCCGTGCCCACCACCCACAGCAAAGAGCCATGCCCAGGGCAGAGGCACCCAGCCCACGGGGCACTGCCCATTCCCCTTCCCCAGGGAGCACAGCCAGACCCAGCAGGACTCTCCACCCCCCAAAAAATAACAACTCAGCCCCTTACCCAGGGCATCCTGTGCCCAGACTGCAGCTGTGAGAAAGAGCAAAAAACACCTTCTGAGAGCCTTCATGGCGATGGAGGAGGAAGAGGAAGGGCAGTCCCTGCTGATGGCTTTTACACCTGGGCCAAGGCCGGCAGCCGCAGCTCTCCCAATGGGAGGGTGGGTGGTTCCCCCTCCCTAGCCCCTCACACCCACCTGGGGCCCATCTCATCAGAGCTCAATACTGCTCAGGGGCAAACAGAGAGCCCTGCTCCTGCTGCTGGCCTTGTCTCAGCCCTGTGCCTTCCCCGGCTGCTGGTCCCTGCCCCAGGCCCTGTCCCTGCCTGGGGGGGTGATGGAGAAGGTGTGGTGGGGCAACCTCTGGCCATGATGTACTGCCCTCCTGACCCCAAAAGCAGGCTGGTCCCCACATGCAGGGTGACGAGTGTCCTTGGGACACCCTCCTGCTGCAGAGCCTCTGGGGAAACTGAGGCACGGAAGGGTGCTGACCCCTGTCCCTCAGGCTGTGCCGGGACAAGGGGGCACATGGCTCCCTGGACAGCCCCACCTTGCCCTCCCCATTCCAGCTCTGGTGGGGGGCAGCAGGCAGGAGAAAGGGGTGATGGTGGGGACACCAAAACAGATAGGGGTGGTGGGCAGCCTTTAGCAGCCCATGGTGAGCAGCCTGGGGCAGAAGATGACCTGGTTGGTGGACCCAGAGCTGTGGCCACTACATGGTCACCCATGCCAGTAAGGAAGGTCCCCACCAGCGCACGCTGTCCCAGGTGCAGAATCCAGCATTTGTTCCGGTTAAATTCCCTGCCATGGACGATTGCACCGAAGCTCCCACTCAGCCAGGTCCCTCTGCAGTCACCAGCACCTCCCAGTTTGGGATGGTCAGAAAGGGTGTGTTCAGCTGCAGTGCCTGGTGTCCAGCCAGCCACAGCCACATACCCTACACCCTCTGAGCCCCGTCCAACTCATTCTTCACCCAGCACACCCTGTACTTCTTCATCTCACAGCTGGACACCTTGTCCAGAAGGATTCTGTGAGGGACTGGATCAAAAATCTGACTAAAATCCAGGAAAACAACACCCACCTCCTTCCCGTCATCCACGAGGTGGTTGACCTTATCGTAGCAAAACAGACGGGACTTTCCCTTTGCCAACCCATGCTGACCATACCTGGTGATGCCAGCGTCCTTTAAATGCTTTTCAACACCCCCCAGGATGACCTTCTCCGTCATTTTTCCAGGCACTAAGGTTAGGCTAACAGGGCTGTAGTTTCCTGGAAAGCACACACTCTTGTAAATCGGGACACGGCTGGTGAGCATCCAGGACCTTGGGGAGATGATCTGGGTGGGGGGGGTGGTCCTGCTGTGACACCCACCAGCTCCCTGGGATGAATCCCATCTGGCCCCATGGATATTCAACCAATCCCTCGCAATTTCCATGTCCTTAAATGGAAAATCACTGCTGCTGTCACCCCCCAGCTCCGTTTGACCCCCCTGAGGACACTGATAAGCCAGCGGTGCTTGGCAGTGCCAGGGTGGCTGTGGAAGGAAGTGCAGGTAACCGGGGAAAGGCACCGGGAGCAGCTAAAAGCAGAGAGGACGCCCAGAGAGACGGGTGCCCACAGGATTCTGCCAGTCTGAGTGGATCTGCTTGCCCGCAGGACAAGAGGATGCTCAGCGCGGCTTTCAGCATCAGTGTCCTGCTGGCCCTAGCACACAGCACGGCCGCCCTTGGATGCGGTGGGTGTCAACCCTCCCATGGAGGCACTGGGGGACGTGGGGTCCCCAATGACCTCTTGCTGTGAGTGCCAGCGGGGTGCTCGGCCCCTCTCCTTCCAGCTGGTCCACAGAAACTGGTCTCTGAGATGCTGCAGCGCCTGGAGGACTCGGTCCAGCAGAACGAGCCACCGAACCCCAGCGTCCTGCTGGCCATGAACTTGGCTGGCGCCACCGGCAGCAACACCCACAAGTGGCTGCTCCAGCACATACAGGAGGAGGCTGTGAAGAGAGCCCAAAAAGGTAGGGAGGGGTGGAGATGCACCCCTGTTGCAGCACCCGCTCCTGGAGGACCCGGTGCCATGGAGTGGGCACCGCCAGCTCTGTCCTCCCCAAATGGGGGGTGCCACGTCCCAGCCCCCATGTGCCCTGGCTGCTCTCCTGTCCCTGCAGACATGACGTCGGGAGAGGTGGCTCTGTCCGTGCTCGCTCTGCTCTCCTCCTGCCAGGACCCCCAGCGCGTCCAAGCCCAGGGGCAGAGCGTGGATCTGCGCCACATCCTGCAGCAGAAAATGGATGAGGAGATGGCCAGCCTGGGTATGCCAGAACAGGACGGGGGGACCCAGGGTGTCCAGGGTGGGGGTCTCCCTCCCTCCCCACACCTCAGCTCCCATCAGCTCACTGCAGTTTGCTTTGCAGAGGTGGAGGGCATCCCGAAGACCACGCTGTACAGTGTGAGCCTGGACGCCCTGGCCCTGTGCCTGGCAGGGGTGGGTGGTTACCAAGGGGCATCCGTGGTCCTGGCCAAGCAGGTGCTGAGCCCTGAGAGCCACCTCTCCGTGGGTAAGGGACCCCTCCGGCCCCACTGTGTCCTCTCCACTCGCAATGCCCCACTCAGCGGGGTCGGTGGTGACGCTGGGATCTCACAGACACCCGTGCCATGGCGGTGCTGGCGCTGGTGTGCACATACGGCCAGACAGACCTCCACGACGTGCAGGACCTGCTCGGGGAGGCACTGTCGGCAGTGACCAATGGCTTCCTCGACGAGCAGGAGAAGGGGGACGGCATGATTGGGAACATCTACAGCATGGGGCTGGCCCTGCAGGTACAGGGAGGGGACTGTGGCACCATGGCCACTCAGTCCCACTCCAGGGTTCCTCACGTCACCTCTTCTGCAGGCGTTGGGGGCCACGGCCAAGTTTTATGCCCCACGGGAGTGGGACTGTGCCCAGGCCTTCTCCATGGTGTACAGCCATGACTACCACCAGCCCACAGCCATCGCCCAGGTCCTGCCTGCCCTCGTGGGCAGATCCTACCTGGATGCAGCTGACCTGGACTGCGCCATCGGTGCCAGTATGTCCCCGAGCCTACAGTTGCCCCTGTCCCCAAAGCTGGGTACAACTGAGGTTCACAGAGGTATGGATGCTCCCACCCAGAGACTCCCCCAGACCTCGTGGGGATGATGCTCTCAGCTCCTTCCAGCCCTGTGGCACCATGGTGGGTGCCCACCTTGCCCCTCTCCCCTCCCAGCACCCATCATCGAGGTGCACTACTCCATCATCAACAAGCTGCAGGGAAGGCACTTCAGCTACACCACCTCAGTGCGGGTCCCGCATGGCTCCACGCTGCTCAAGGTGCTGCAGGCAGCGGCAGAGGAGGAACCTGACGTCTTTAGGTGAGAGCTGGGGTAAACAGGGGAACAACAGTGGCAGCTCCTCACCGATCTCCAAGCTCACCAGCCTCCCCGGCAGCTTTCAGACAGAGCAGACGTCCTGGGGCCTCATGGTGGTGTCCATCCACGGGCTGGCCGCCAACCCAAGCGACAAGACCTACTGGCAGTTCCTTAGCGGCGAGGACGCCCTCCAGGAAGGTGAAGAGCCTGGGGAGGACGTGAGGGGCCATGCTGGGGGCCACAGCACCCCAGCCTCACACCCATTTCTCTGTCATAGGGGTTGGCACTTACAAGCCACGGGACAGGGAGCACATCCAGGCCGTCTTCAGCACCTACTGAAGCTGCCAAGGGACACTGGGCCCCGACAGACCCACCATGAAGGCAATAAAGCACCATTTGCAGCACAGCCCAGTGTGTTCCTCTGAGGCGGCGGCACCCCACAGTCCCCCAAAACC